AACAACACAGTTACACTGACACCAACAGCCTCCCACACGCTGGTGCAAAGTCTACACAGTCACAGCCCTACCCAGAGGGCCATCTTCACACACACACACACACACACACACACACACACACTCGCACACGCTGGCCTAGTCCGGTGTGACACCTCCAGCCCCAGGGCCATGCTCACACACCCCTCTCCCCGCCTCTGGAATGTCGTGCATGAAGCTACAGCCTGTGCAATGTCACAGCCACATCGTCACAGCCTCTGAACTACAAAGGGGCCGCTCTGGGCCAAGGATCAGGCGCACATAGTCACGCTGTCACCTACAATCAGATCACACATGGCCACACACACACACACACACACCCACACACACAGGATTTGTCATACTCCTGGTCACACATGTCCTGGGCAGGGTGTCTTCACTGCGGCACCTTTGGCACGGCTGGAAGATTCCTCGTTGTGGGGCCTTCCTGCCCAGGGAAGGGGGTGAGCAACACCCTGACCTTGACCCCCTAGACCCCAGTAGCTCCTCCCACCGCAGGGTGGGGACAACTAGAAATGCCTCCAGTCACTGCTAAATGCCCCCTGGGGGGCAACCCCCTCCCTTAGCAGCGACTGTTCCAGTTTAAAGGAGGGGGACCCGGCCGGGTTAAGGAGGGAGCTGTCCAAGGTGCCACACAAGCTCTGAGGGCACCAGGGCTTCTGGGCTCAGCCCCGCGCCAGCCAGGAGCCACTGCGTGAGCTGGACCCACACACCAGGGCTCTGGGGCGAGGAGAGGACCCCGCACCAGCAGCCAGGACCCTGGGCAACTGTCCTGGCAGGCAGAAGTACGGACAGAAGTACAAACAGACAACCGCCTGGCTGGAGGGGGGTCTTTCCAACGCACAGAGCTGCCTGGCCCCTCCCGTGGTTCCCTGCTGCCATTGGGGCGAAGTCCCAGCCCCTCAGCCCGGTGGTGGGCTCTGGTGTCCCTCCCCGGCCTGCCCTCCCTCCGTGCCTGTGGGGCCCAGCCTGGTCCATCCCTCTGCCTCATAGTTTCCCATCAAACACTTCTCCTTCTTGAGGGACCGAATATCGCGGGGCTTCTCCTGGGAGAGATGGTGAACCTTGGATCCTGGGCACCTGGATCAGGGTCAACTGCCTCCCCAACCTGCTCTTCCTGGGCAGGAGCCAGGGCAGCCCATCTCTGTGTCCCCAGCGTGCCCAGGTTGGGGGTTGGCAGAGGGAAATCCCAAGTTTCATGAGGGCAGAGCCCGGTCTGACTCAGGTCTGTGTCCCCAGCATCTCCCAGCACAGGGTCTGGCCCAGCAAGGCCTTGCTGAATGAGTGAAGCATATAAGTGGATGCCTGCAACATGCTTCTCCAGCTCTTGAACTCCTACTCATCCTTCAGGGCCCAAACTCAAATGCCCCCTCCTCCAGGAGGACCTCCCTGACTGACTGTCCAGAGCAGAGTCTTCACTCTCTATACTGGGTAACTTTGACTCCGCGGCGACAGGTCCCCAACCTGACCAGGAAATCCCCGAGGGCTCGAATCTTGGCCGCGTTCCCCAGAGCTGGGCTTAGCTCAGAGCAGGGGCCTGTTCCTAGAAGGAAGAGATGGTGTCCAGAGACTGGAGAAGAAAGCCCAGAGGAGCCTGTGCTGGGAGATGAAATGTCTGCAACACCATTTCCTGTCTGGTGACCCCCCTCACTCACACACACACACACACACACACACACACACACACACACACCAGTTTGAGTCTCAGTTCCCTCGTCTGTAAAAGAGAGAAAAATAGCCCAGGTGGGTGTGTCTTAGTGGTTGAGCGTCCACCCAGGAACAAAGACGATACAGTTTGATCCCCAGTGGGGGGCGTGCAAGAGGCAGCCGATGGATGATTTTCTGTCATCATTGATGTTTCTATCTCTCTCTCCCTCTCCCTTCCTCTCTGAAATCAATAAAAATATATTGAGAGAGAGAGAGAAAGAACGAGAACAGTTCTCCCCTCTGATGGCTTTTGTGAGGGAGTCCCCAGGAAGATAGTAGCAAAATGTCTGGCTCAGTGCTTAGCGTGCAGAAAGGGCCCAGTAAATGCTCGCTATCCCAAAGCCACATCTACTGCTCTCTCTGGTCCAGGGCCAGTCTCCCGGGGGTGGGGAGCGGGAAGGTCAGGGCCCGTCTGGGTTGTAGTTGGTCGGTGCCCAGCATCCTCCCGAGTCGGCGACCATTCAGATGCCCTGTCTGGCGTCTGACAAGAGCATTTAGCAGGCGCCTGAAAGAACGGACTGCGGAGCTGGGCCGCCCAGGTTCAAATCCCAGCTCTGCGTCTGCGTTGCAAGAGCTCCTCCGCCTGCCTGGGACTCAGTTTCCCCATCTGTGAACAGGGATGATCATCATGCCTCTCTCATAGGGTGGCGGTGGGGGAGGAAATGAGGTCATTCAAGGAACTGTTCGCCACAGAGCCCACTGGTTAAGTGCCTGCCAACACCTGCTCGGTGGGGTAATTAGGGGGCAGGTGCCAGCCTGTCTGGGGGTCCAGTGGTGACCGGAGGGACCACATGGGTCGCAGGCGGTCCTAACCAGCAGCCCCCATGCCTGTTTGATAAATCCAAGGGCGAAGGTGGCAGGTGGGCGAGTTCCCCTCCCCTAGACAGAAGGGGGTATCTATCTAACAAGCTGGGTGACCTTGAGTTGGAGATAGGATCCACCTTTCGCGCCTGGGAGGCACTTTGTCAAAATTAGGGCCCAACAATGAGGGGATGCGTGGCTTCCACAGTCCTGGGACCCACAGGTGGGGACCCCGAGGCCCAGGAGTGTGTGTGAGCCAGGGGAGGGGTAGTGGGGGTGGGGTGGCACGCTGAGAGGGGGTTTGTGGCTCTGGCAAGGAAGAGGGTGAGAGGGGTGGGGCCTGGCCTCCCTATAACGAAAAGCCCCCGGACCCTTTCTCGTTGCTGACCGTGGAAGTCCAGGGGCCTTCCCATCCCTGATGCCCGGAGCCCGAACGCTGAGTGAAGGCCCCTGGAAATTTCCGCTGGTTCCCGCCTTTGGCCCTGTGGTTCTGACTTCTCCGCTCCCTTCCATCTGAACAGCTCACTCGTCCCTAATTTTCCTCACTTACCCATCACTCTCTGAAATGGCCTATATTTATGGACTTGCTGGCTTGCTTTTAGATTTGTTCGTTGTTTGATCTCTCTGGGTCCCAGGAGGACCTACGCTCCATGAGGGCAGTGCCTGGAGCAGACTGTGCTCCGTCAGAATGTGCTACGGGAAGGGAGGAGGCCAAGACCACAGGCCAGACAAGCAGGGTGGACCCTGGTCCGCGTGGCTGGGCCTGCCCTGCCCTCTCTGTCTAATACGGAGAAAAAAAAATTAAAGGCAAAAAAAAAATGACAGCTGGGACAATATCTAAAATGCCGGAGAAGTAGAAAAATGCCAACAGCAGAGAAAGGGGCTTAGCTGGTATCCATCACACGGAACTCTGGGTGTCCGACTGTGTAGGTGGGAGAGGGTGGGGCCGGGACGCGCTGTATAGAGGATTGTAACCTGCACGCATTCCTCCCGCAACTTGGAAAACGGAAGAGAGAAGAGGCGATTTTGTGTATCTTTTTCTCAGGGAGCCCCAACTCTGTCAGTGGGTGGGCAGGTGGCTGGCTTTCTGCCTCCTGGTTCTGTGCCAGCTCAACCCGCACCCCCCCTCCCACCTGCCCCCCAACCCTCAGTTCCCAGACGGGGAATCCGAGGCCCAGAGGTGGGCAGGCACTGGGCCGGGGTCATAAGCCTCCTCCTGGCCCCACTAAGCTCCCAGCCCCACAGGTGTCAGCATCAGGAAGTCCGGGGGCCAGAGAAGTGAAAAGTGGGAAGTTACTTGGAGAGGAAAAGGAGAGAGAGGGTGGGAGGAGGCGAAGGGGGAGGGAAGGGAGTGAGGGGAGGAGAGGGAGGAGGGTGGAGTTAAGGAGGCATCAGGGACCCAAGGGGATGTGACTTCCCAGAGGTAACTGAGGCCCAAGGCTCTGGTGGGAGAGCCAGGAAGGGACAGGGGCGGAGAGGCCTGGGGGTGACAGTGGGGGCATTTCAGAGGCAGGAGGGATGACGTGAGATTGTGCTGAGACCAGCAGGACAAAGAGACAGACCCAGGGAATGCCACCCCCAGCCAGGGAGCCCCCGGAAGTGGCTGAGACACTAGCGAGACACAAAGAACAAGTGACAGAGATGGACAGACAGGCGGGTGGGAAGTCCGTCAGCTGGCCTGTCAGACAGGCACCAGGGAGGGAACTGATGCTGGGCCCCGCTGGGCCCGGGCCCCGGGGCTGCGAGGGCTGGCTGACCCCTGACCTGCGTGCACAGAGCCCTGCTGGCGGGACCACCCTCCTGGCATGACCCTGGGCGGCTGCAGGTGCCGGGCCAGGTGCGCTCGCCTTGGCCTCAGTGACGTGTTCATGTGGCTGAGCCAGACCGGGTGTGTGTGGGCGGGAGGCCTGGGGAGCAGCTGCAGACTGAGACTGTTGGGGGCTCTAGGCTGTCCCTGACTGTGTGTCCGGACTCTGTGACCCTTGTTTGGAGGCAGGGCTGGGGGGTGGGGGGAGCCCTCCAGACGCCCCGCATTAACCCTGCCTCCCTGCTCGCCCCTCTCTCCTCAGGGGCAACTGTCAGGCCACCTGGGTGGCAGCCCCCCACCCCCAGGACACAGGCTCCAGCTACACGTCCTGCATCCAGAGACTGCCCGGTGCACCCCCTGCACCCCCCCAACTCTCCCCACCCTGCCCCACAGGCCAGCCCCAGCCCCCTTCCCCACAGGAGGGCTGACATTCACCCTTGACCTGCGTTAGCCCTTCCTCCCTCCTCAGTCTGCCCTTCTCTCACCCTCCAGTCCCCCTGGGAAGCGGGAATCCAGACAGAGCCCCCACCTCTGAGTCTCCAGCCCAACTTCCTGGATCCCCACTCCCCCACCTAACTGTACCCCCAAACACCACACTTCCCCCAAACCCACAGGACCCAGCTGGAAGGCCAGCCCCCACCCCTGCCTGCCTGGCCCTGGGACTGAGGTCTGGGGACACCCGGCC